TTTGACATTCGGCTGTCCATTCAAAGGGGTTGGCTTTTTTCATGATCTGGAAGAATGGAATAGCTCGATCGGCTAGCTTGGATAGGAATCTGCTCAGAGCTGCTAACCGACCGGTCAATCTCTGCACTTCTTTGAGGTTTCTAGGAGCCTCCATATCCACAATTGCCTTTACCTTTTCAGGATTGGGCTCAATCCCCTTCTCGCTCATCATATATCCCAAAAATTTGCCCCCTCTTACGGCAAAAGCATATTTTTTGGGATTCAGCCTCATATTAGCTTTCTGCATTATCCCGAACACCTTTTCTATGTCCAGGACATGATTCTCCTTCTTCCGGCTTTTGATCAGGATATCATCAACGTAAGCCTCCATTATGACTCCCAACACTTCTTTGAACAGCATCCCAATCATCCTCTGAAAAGTTGCCATTGCGTTCTTTAATCCGAATGGCATGACAATATAGCAAAACACACCATCCGAAGTAACGAACGTTGTTTTCTCTGCATCAGCTGGGTGCATGAAGATCTGATGGTATCCCCGGAATGCATCAATGAAGCTCAACAATTCACAACCGGCCATTTCATCTACTAACAGATCGATCCTCGGCACTGGATAAGGGTCCATGGGACAAGCTTTATTCAGATCCGAGTAATCCACGCACATCCTCCAAGTAGATTGTTTTGGAGCTAGGACCACATTGGATAGCCATTCGACGTGGATTACTGGACGGATGTGTTTTATTCTCAGCAAGGTGGCCACTTCCTGCTTTGTAAATTCCCGCCGTTCGGTAGCTTGATACCGTTTCTTTTGCTGGACTGGTTTTGCATCAGGCCGAACGACAAGCTTGTGACAGATTATCTCCGGGTCAATACCTGGCATATCTTCTGGCCCCCGGGCGAATAATACCTGAAACCTTTTTAGGACGGCAATAACGCCATCCCGGATGTCAGCCTCTAAGTCTCGTAGATCCGAAAGCCCAACACGAACTTTGGATATATCAGGAATGGTCCTGAATCAAAGTGTATAACCAAATATAAAATATGAACTCACAAATACTCAAAAGCCCACTTGTATTAATTAACCTGTCTGATTACAAGGAAATTCTCGACCGGTAACTCGGAATAATGCTTTAATACAAGAAACAAGAGTAATAACGTTATTCTAGAGCCTGAGTATTGAAATGCTAACCCTTACAATGATTTTAAACCTTCTATTTATACTAATGGAGAGCATGGGTTGTTCTGTGCCGATTGGCTGTTGTTCCACCGACTTGGTCATTCATGTTTCCACTTGCTGATGTCACAATATGGCATTAATTGCACATGGCCACTTGCTGGTTGTCCGTTGCTCGAACGGGATGTTGGACCATGCTGAAGATGCTGCCAAATTAGCCCAAGTAAGATATATAGTCCGAACTCCGTTCGGTATACCTTCTTTCTGGGCCGGCCTTTACTGGGATCGAACCTCGTTCGGTATGAATTCTTCACTGGATCTACTCATCATAGAGTGATGGGCTTGTTGTTTGGGCCGGATATCTTGGACTCTTTTGATCCGGGTATTGGGCCTCTGGATCAATATCCCAACAGTTATATTATTACTTTTACTGTTATTTGGATCAACTAAATCAAGAGGAATTAAATTGAAGAAGTATATGATCATTTAGTAGTGAGTGCAAGCACATATAATTCTCCCTATCAATATAAAGCGTACTCCTCCACCTTAGTAGTTTTTTATAATGTAACAAGATTGATTTTCTGCAGAATGTGTGTGCAGTATCCATTGTTGGGTTTTTGCAAGTAAAATTCAAACTTTGATTTAATTTTCCTCAAAACCTATACTTGTTAACAGGACCGTACTATTGGCATATGACCTATATAGTTTTTTTAACCTTTTGCTATTAAACAATGATATAGGACAGGACGGAACCAGATTAGAGCAGATGAGCAAACCATATTACGAAAACATGATGAAGAGTGAAGTTATCTTCCACTTTAAGGAAACATTTACTTCATACTTATTAAGCGGTGCTTATTAAGACATGTGTTAATTGTGAAATAATGAAACAGGATGCTCACTAAGGAGCCCTGGCAGATATATTTATAATAAAGAGAGTTTAATGTAAAGTACAATACTGATCCTATAATAATTCTATTACACCCCCTCAAGCAGTGCGGGAGAAACAACGCGCAGGTTGTCCTTTAAAAAATGAAAACGCTGAGTAGGTAGACTCTTGGTAAAAATATCTGCCAACTGTAGATGAGTAGGAACATGTTGTACAATCAGATCTCCATGGGCAACATGTTCCCGAACAAAATGATAGTCAATCTGAATATGTTTGTTGTGAGCATGCTGAATATGATTTGCAGTCAAATAGGAAGCCGAAATATTATCACACAGCAGATGCACAGGTTCGGTGATGGGATAGCCGAGCTCAAAGAGAACAGATCTTATGTGTAGTGTATCCTGAACTGTGTAGGCAATAGCACGATACTCGGCCTCTGTGGATGACTTGGATACTGTGGGCTTCTTTTTGGACTTCCAGGAAACTAAATTAGGACCCAAAAAGACAGCAAAACCTGTAGTGGACCGTGAGCTATCAGGACATCCGGACCAATCTGCATCTGAGTAGGCAACAACACATGTGGGTCGATCAGAATGCTGGAGCCATAACCCATGATCACGTCTTCCCTGCAAGTACCTGAAAATTCTTTTGACTGCAACTAGATGAGTAGTACGAGGGGCATGCATGAACTGAGAAACTAAGTGTACTGCATAAGTAATATCTGGCCGTGTCAAAGTTAAATATTGTAATGCACCGACCATGCTGCGATACTCGGTAGAGTCCACAAGTAACTCACCATCAGAAAGAGATAAAGTAGTGCAAGACGCTAACGGTGTGCGAACAGGTTTAACCGTATGAAGATGAAAACGAGCTAGAAGATCAGAAACATATTTATTTTGAGAAAGAAACAAACCTTTAGACGAACGAGTCGCCTCAAGACCCAAGAAATAATGTAAGTTACCCAGATCCTTCATGGCAAAGTGATTAGAAATAATAGAGATAAACTGGGTAACGGTAGACACAGAATTGCCAGTAATAATAATATCATCTACATATAATAATAAGTAAATGATAGAATTATTATGGCGATAAATATATAATGAATTATCAGATTTACTACAGGAAAAATTATGCTGCAGTAGAAAGCTACTAAACCTATGAAGCCATGCCCGTGGGGCTTGCTTAAGACCATAAATGGCCTTGCGCAAACAACACATATGGTTAGGAAATTGAGGATGAATAAATCCACGGGGCTGACGCATGTAGACTTCCTCTGTCAGATGACCATGTAAAAAGGCATTTTTAACATCAAGCTGACGAATAACCCAACCAAAAGATACAGCTAAAGTGAGTACGATACGAACTGTGGTGGGTTTAATAACAGGACTAAAAGTTTCAGAAAAATCAATACCAGCCTGTTGATTAAATCCCTGAGCAACTAACCTAGCTTTATGACGTTCCACGGACCCATCAGAATGATATTTCGTTTTATAAATCCACTTACATCCAAAAAAATTCTTAGTATTGTCAAAGGGCACCAGATCCCGAGTATTATTATTAATGAGTGCAGTAAATTCATCAGCCATTGCTTCCCGCCATTTTAACTGTTTATTAGCCTCAGTAAAACAAGTGGGATCCGCAGGAATGACAACTGTACTGAGATTAAAAATAGTTTTAGGTTTGAAAATTCCCGCTTTGGCATGGGTTTGCATGGGGTGCTGATTAAGGACCTTAGGAGGCGCAATGGAAGGGGAGGAAGCAGGGCTGGTCGTGGTGTGGGAAGACTCGGTCTGGGAGTAGGAGTTGGGAGTAGTGATCCTAGTGCGATATTCGGAACCAGAAGGAGGTGGACTCGATCTCAAGGACGTTGGGGTGGAGCCTACGGACTGGGAAGGAGAAGAGGACGACAACGAGTTGGATAGGGACGGAGTGTTGGCTGCAGACTGCAAGAAGGATGGTGGAGAGCTGGTGAATTTTTTTCCTGCGGCTGAAGGCTGGGAAACGAGTGGAGATGGAGCATATGACGTGAGTGATGTGTCGGTAAGAGCCATAGGGGACGGTCGGTTAGGGGAAGGAGAGGGAATAGGCTGCCTAATGGTTTGAAAGGGATATGTATCCTCGTGAAACCTCACATGACGACTGACATACACACGACCTGTAGTAGGATCCAAACAACGATAGCCCTTGTACCCCGGTGCATAGCCAAGAAAAACACATTGAACAGACCTAGGTGATAGTTTATTAGCTGATGTGGCCGAAAAATTGGGATAGCAGGCTGACCCAAATACACGCATAAAAGAGTAGTCAGGAACTCAGTTAAAAAGTATTTGGTATGGAGAAAGTCCCTTTAATGTAGGAGAGGGTAGTCTGTTAATGATATATGCAGCTGCAAAAATTGCATCAACCCAATATTGACTCGGAACGGAGGCTTCAAGAAGCATAGTTCGAGTTAATTCAAGAAGATGACGATGTTTTCTCTTAGCCACCCCATTTTGTTGAGGTGTGTCAGGACAAGATTTTTGAAAATAAATTCCATTAGCTAAGAAAAATTGCTGCATATTATGATTAACAAATTCACCGCCCCCATCACTTTGAAAAATTTTAATTTTATGATTAAAAATATTTTCAACCAAAGCTTTAAAATTTTTAAAGTGCATAAAAACTTCACTTTTGTGATGCATGGGATAAATCCAAGTAAATCGAGAATAATCATCATTGAAACAAACATAGTACTTGAATCCCAAATTAGAATAAATTGGAGACTGCCACACATCAGAGTGAATAATTTGTAAAGGAAAAGAAGAATTATGACTAGCATCCATAAAAGGCAATCGTTGTGATTTTCTTAATCGACAGGCAACACACTCATGGGTAAAAGGAGAATGACTACATAAGAACTATCGACGTTTAAGAAATTACAAAATATTATCACCACAGTGACCTAATCTACGGTGCCATACAGGGCCAGAAGCTAAAACGGAAGCTAAAACTACGGATGGAGATGATGGAAGACGCAGAGGATAGAGTGGCCCACTACTGGAAGCTTGCAGAAGAATTGCCCCCGAGGCTTTGTCATTAATAAAAAAAGAATTTTTATCAGAAATGACAGTACAGTTTTTATCTGCGCAAAGTCTTTGAATTGAAATTAAATTATATTTTAACTGACGCGCATGATAAACAGATTTTAAGGTGAGAGAACGACCAGAGGAAGGTAATGCAACATCACCAATATGACAAATGGGTAAATGGGCACCATTAGCAACACTGACATAATTATAGCCAGTGTAAACAGATTTATTTTGTATAATACCTTCTGGTGCAGTCATGTGAGCCGAGGCTCCTGAATCAGGATACCATAAAGCGGAATTAGACTCTCCAGGACTAGTAAACAGAGCAGGACTAGATGGTTGGGTGAAGCGAGAGGGACAAGTAACAGCAGAGTGACCTGCAGAAAAGCAAATTTGGCATACAACGGGATGGGGAACAGAACCAAGAATACCCCCGTCTGATGGCAAGCCTGCAAAACTAGAATTAGTAACACCAACATGTAATGCATTAATATTTAAATGTGACAAAGCCGAATTACAAACAACAGTACCCGTAGTTGGCACACCCCCTGCATGTGGAGCAGACCCGGCTGGAAATGAAGGAGCACCCCCTGCCGGAGCATAGCCCGGCTGCCCCTGCTGCGGATACCAATATATGGGCTGCCCATTTTGACCCCCTGATGTCCTCTTCCGCGCCCTCAGCCACCGCATCCCCTGCCACGACCGCGACCGCGGCCGCGTTGCGGTTGGCCGTGTGGATGCTGCTGCTGTGTTCCCGATTGGTGAGGCCCCTGCGGATGCTGCTGATGCTGCTGTCCCGCCGGATGGGACCCTGCCGTAATAGCTCTGGAGGCCTGGTGCACGGATGACGACTCCTGGGAGCGAAGATAGAGAACCCGCTGCTCTAGTTCAAAAAGATGATTGTGTAGGGTCTCAAAAGGAAAATTTTGAGGAAAAAGGGAGACAGTGGTGAACAAGGACTCATACTCAGGTCTCAAGCCCATAATAGTAGTTTTGAGCACTTCGCGAGGAGGGACAGGGCAATTAATCGTAGCAAGATCATCAACCAAAATTTCAATCTCCCGTAAATAATTATCCATAGATTGATCAGGTTTCTTTTTAATTTGAGAAAATAAACGCTTTAATTCCATAGATCTGGCCAAACTGGCTGACATAAATCTAGACTCTAACTGTTCCCAAATTTCACAAGAATGTTTTAAATCCCGAACATCAATGAGAACATCATGAGAAAGAGTGGCAAATAACCATGAGCGAATTGTTTGATCAATACGTAACCAAGTAGAAAATTCGGGATTGGGAATTTGACGGTTGAGCATATCTATGGAATAAGCAGATGGTACCTGAATGGAGCCGTCAACCATGCCAAGAAGACCTTGTGAGACAAGAAAGGACTCAAACTGGGTACGCCAAGTAGTATAGTCTTCCACTGCTAGGAGCTTTGTGGTAACAATATTGGTGACATTAGTAGCGACATGAGAGATGTTGTGTACAAGGTCTGCCAAGGGGGAACCGACTGCACTGTCCACGGTGGTCCGAGGAGGGGGTAGGGTAGAGGAGACACCCGGTGATCCAACAAACGTGGGTCCAGAAAAAGGCCCGGCCGAGAGGGGTGGCGGATCTAAGGACATCCGCTGCACTGGAGTAGGTGTCGGCCAAGGAAACGCCGGATGCATGGTCGGAAAAAGAGAGTGAGGTACGGCGGTCCGGCTGGGAGAAGCGAAGGTGGATGAAAACGTCACACCATGTGAAATAATGGAACAGGATGCTCTCTAAGGAGCCATGGCAGATATATTTATAATAAAGAGAGTTTAATGTAAAGTACAATACTGATCCTATAATAATTCTATTATTAATAAGCGGCTCATGAAATAAGCATGCATGCAGTGCTATAAGCTAATGTTAGTTTACAAGATTTAAAACACCGTTTAACATTTAAATGTTCAAAATAACCATATACATATATAGACGCACAAACACTCATGTACAGAAGTGTGTGTGTACACTAACCCTCTACTCATGCAAGGCGCGAAATGGTGTGTCCAATATTACTATACTATCATCCTTTCATGTAAACATGATATAATACTTGTAAGCATGGTCAAGGTGGTGAAGCAATTGAAGTAGTGTTAAAATCTAGGATTTGATCCTAAAATATCAACTCGATAGGAGTAGTAATCCAAAATCTTATGTAGTGTTTTTTGTTTATCATTTTCTGGTGGGATAAATACTTTAACACGCTCGCTCAGGCCCAACCGGGTTGGACAATATCGGGTTGTGTAAATGGGTCAAACAGACTCTTAGCAATCTACCCTTTATCATGGGTGTTAAATAAGCAGTCAAATCACAATCGAACTTGGATGTGATACCATGTTAAGATATACGATTTCATCCTAAAACGTCAACATGATAAACGAGTAGCCCATATTTTAATATAACACTTTATTATTTCACAATTTTCTAGTGTGGGACTTCAACATAATAAATGATAGATTTATTTCAAACTGTCAAGTGAGGCATTCCTGGTAGACACTATAAATCAATGAAGGGTATTTAAACCAAAGAAATAGAAAGCAAAAATATTTCACTCTAGACGGAACCTTTGGTGATTTTGACTTGAAATTAATGTCGTAGAATATTTTGTTTGCACACTTCCTCATGAAACTTTATTCAAATGCCTCCTCAATTCAGCTTTATGAAATATACAACTTGTTTTGATGATCGTGATCTGTCAAACAGCGTAGAGCCTAAGTAGCTCACCTAATTGGTCTTTAGAATTTCATGGATAACACATGGATAGAAGAGGAGATTGTTTGATCATGTTACTTGCAATGTATCAGCATCACTGAATGAAGTGAGTGTTACTGGTGCTCTTGTTATTGATCTGATTGAGCCAACTTTAGATACCATCAATTATTTTAGCCAAATAGACAACCAAACAACTTTCTGTTCAACCAACTCAGCTAATTCAACCATTTCAGCCTATCTAACAACCACCACAGGGTGTTTAATAGTGTTGTTGAACAACCACCAAACTCTGTCTAATCATGTGACATAAAACATAATGTGCTTCTCATTGTAAATTTCAGTAATATGCTTTGTTCTCACTTGATCGATGAAAGGTTCCATGGCTTTTCTGAATTTGATGAAAAGAAACGCAGCTGCCGCGGTAGACTTTCAGATCACAATGCCAGACGCCACAAGCCAATATCTGGTCCCACCCAGTTTAGTTACATGAGTAAGTTTTATCACCTTTTCGCAATATAATTAATATCCTTTATATGTGGACATTCTTATTACAACTTTAAATCAAATCTCGAAAAAGCATTAATAACGTGCAGTAAATTTCTTCTGATATAGTTTTGTATATCTTCATAACAATGTATCCAATATAATTTCCCATTCTTTAAATTAGATATTGTGCAATTATCTAACAAATATGATTTCTTGTCCTTCAAGTTTGATAGCTATTTAACTTGAGTTGAGAGTAGCAACTCATGGTGATCCTATGTGTGGTTCCATGGCAGTGCAAAAGATCCCAAACACATCCATAAGTGATGTGAGCAACCACATTTAGGTGGATCTGAACGGATGGTAGCTTTCTGGGGCTTTCCGTCTGAACATATGGCAATTGCTATCTAGATTTGCGGTATCATGTTTAATTTTCCTTGATTGGCAGAGGTTCATGGCCTTGAGCTACCAATTGTTACTGTCCAGCCCATGTTTGTAATGTACATTGCTAGATGATTTGTTTTGGTTATTTTGTTTATTATCTATGCCCGTTTCTTTCAGCTTCATTTCCTCATTGGGCAAGAAATCTCGCGCAATGCGTGTGCCGATGCTAGTGTTATCTATATTAGTGTAAGTACATATGTATATCATTATTATTAATATTATTGTGTGTATATGTGATAACCCAGGACAGTATGAAGAAGAGAAATATTGTGAAGAAGAGATAAAGGATGGCAAGAAGGTTGATACTCATTTCATGCCCTTTTTTCAGAACATGACACCGTTCTTATACAGCTTCTAACTTCTAATCTACTGGCTTAGTGTGTGGTGGAGATGGATAAAACCACTCACATACTCCCCTTATTTGTAGCCATACTAAAAGGACAATAACCAACAATTACAAAAGACATATAGTAATAAGTAATTAAATAGTAATTAATAATTTGCAGGAGCTCCTTTCACGTGCAGTAGCTTCCAGCTCCCTCAGTCCAAGTGTGCAGGTGTGTGAAGTATGCCCAGATTTAAAAGTCAATTAATCTATAAATCTTATGAAGAATTTAAACAGTAGAAGAGAAATCTCACAAATAACGTATACCGTGTATATATAATGATGATTCCATGAAGAACAATACAAAGTACTCGAATGAATAAGCTAGAGAGAGAATTCTAATCTACTGGCTCTATAGAGAATAATATGCAGAATAGAATGTGTAGAGACTTAGAGCTGATTTCGACTAACTCCTTCTGAATTTATAGGGAGTAGTTCGGCCAGCCCTATTACAATTAGGAAATAACAGATTTAGGCGTGTGGGCTTATTTGAGCCAGATTAAATGGGCCTAATTCTCTCTCAGCTAATCTAATTAATATACAAAGACTCATTAATTAAATTACAATTAATTTGAACACAATAAAATAATATTAAAATAGCAGGGCATTAACGTAAGTGTTGGTGTCATAAAACGTGGGATTCATCATGCGTTCACGTGTGCTATGACGTGGCAGCGGTGTATCAATATGCTACTTCGTATTATTTGTATCATGTGTACTACTTCTTTTAACTTTGTTATTCTTTATTTTGTATATTTCCGTAAACCAATTATTGATTGATTGAAATTGTTAAAATGTCACTATTATTATTTATGTCATATGTATATTTATTGGTTGTTACAAAGACAACGCTTTTCATTTAAGTCAAAGTCCTGGTCAACTTAATTATTATAAAAATGTCACTTTTATTATTGAAACATTTTTTCCTCACTAAAAATGGCACCAATGTTAAAATTTTATCTGCTACACTTGATTATTAAAATGTCACATTCGTAGCATTTCATCAGACTAATAAAATTATTTATTTATTTAATTTTTTAGAATGTCACAATCTACCCTCCTTAAAAGATGCTTCGTCCAGAAGCATAAGCTAAGAAAATATCCACTGATGGATTATAGGGATATCCAAACTATAATAAAATGGAGAGATTTGAGCTAATGTGAGGAAGAAGATGAATGAATAGTAATGTATGAATGAGTTGTAAATTAGGTTTACAAGAACTCCCTAAGGGAGTATATATAGAAGAATTTCCAGGTCTGGGCCTCTAATATGGGTCTAACAGACCCGGTTACATAAATGAACTGATAATATAAAAGGCTAATCTAGAACACCAGAATAATAATAATAATGTACAATAATGAAAATGATATCAGCTGAGTGTACGTGGGCCGCTGTCCGGGCCCAATAGTCGTGAGACCCGGGGGTCCGAGTCTATATACTCCATCGGGAGTCCCCCACTCCCTGAGTCGAGACTACTCGAGGCGAAAGGGAGTAGAACTGTGTGCTGATCTATCAAGTTAGTCTCTGTTTTCTATTACAGCAAAGAATAACAGTATAACAAGTAGAAGATTAACAGTAAAGATGAACACAGATAGATCGATGTAAACCTTCCTTGATATATCGTGAACTCGTACAGAGAAGAATTTGCGCTAAGGCTATTTGGAACGAGTACGAAAGTTAACACAACCCTAAACCTGAAACACCTTTTTATATGCACAGGTATAGGGTTGGCGGAAAAGGCTTTCAGCCTGATATGGGCCTGACACTTGGTCCCATATTCTTTAACCTAATAAATAAAAATAATGAATACACGGATAATATAAAGCTAATCTATTACAAGATAGGTGAAAAACTTGATTCACAATTAAATGATCTTCAACAATCTCCCCCTTTGTGATCAAGTGCCACCTTGTTATTGCTTCTGAGCTTTGAAGTAGTGCTTCCTCATATTTAGTGTGTGCTCATATATTCTCAGCATGTTTCTCTTGTCCAGATGATCGTCGATGGCTTTTAGAATGATTTCCAGTGTTGAATGTTCCTTTTGAATGTATGACGATGCCTCCTCAAGTTTTTGTTCTAGCTGTTCCTTCATCTTCAGCAGCTGTTCTCTGATGATCTTGAGCGTTCCATCACAGTATTTCTCAACTTCGCTAACCATCATCAGGCGTTTTTCATTCTTGTGGTTGAGATATGTGACTGCTGGCGGTGTGAAGAAGATGTGGTATGCAGGGAAGTCCTCGAGCTCTGGACCATACAATCTTGGCTTTGTTAGATTTGTTTTTTTCATGTTGCACTCGATAGCCATCTGTAGGTCGTGAGATGAGTGAACTCTGACTTGTCTGAGCATGAACCTCTTGATTGCTGCGAGGCCTTCACTGTATATTCTGCTTTGTCTGACTGGGAGATATATGTATGCCATAAACATTTGATAGATGTCGTCTGGTTTGAGCATGATGAAATCGTTTTCCTGGCATGTGAATTCACTCCCATCGGTGCGTTGAAGTTTGTAAGAGTAGAATCTCACTCCATGATAATCCTCAGCCTTGACCTGTAGGATTTGATGAATTGGGAGAATGTTGGATTTCATATCCTGTTCCATCAGTTCTCGTTGAGTCCCGGTTGACCGTTGCATCAGCATATGAAGATGACCTCCTGCCTGCTTTCCTTTGAGATGGGTGAGTCCACGCAGCTTTAGTTCATTCAGAGGTCTGACTTTCTCTGGTCTACGCCATATACGCTCTCTGATTTCCTCTTGCAAGGGGACTTTGATGCGTACATTTTCCCAAGGTTTCTCTGTCTTGGGAAGTCGTCCCGCCGTTTGTCTGACAACAGATTCAAGTTCTTTCTGAGTTTCCTTGTAGTTTTCCCCTTCCTTTCGTTCATCATCCTCGAGCCTGATTATGTCCTCTGCACATTTGTTTATGAGTTCTCGTAAGAACCAGTTCCTTTGCATATCTTCACATTCTTCATCCTGCATGATTTGATCCATCTCTGTCCACTGTCTGGGCCATTTTTCGTGAATGATGATATCCTCAAGTTGATCGTGCATTTTATCTGATGACAGAATGGTAGTAGCTGGTTGATCTTGTAGTGACGGAGACCTGTTAACTGGGACACCGGGGTCATTAGGATTTCCCGTTGTCATCATCTTCGAACGAGGTTCTAACTGATGGCCTGACTTATAAGATGTACCAGTAGTAGCATCATCAGGACTTCCATCCCCTCCTCGGTTGGTATCTTTAGGAGATACGCCTCAGGATGTTTCATCTAGCTCGACCAGGCTAGAAAGTTTGGTTACGGGTGGCTGTTGGTTGGTAGGGGTTTCAGGTTGAACGGGCTGTGGAGTGTGGCTGGCTAAAGCAGTTTGCTTGAGTGTTCGTGGCCACTTGTTCTCCCCCTCATGAGGATCCGAATCGTCGGAGTCCTCATGGGAACGTTTACGACCACGAGGACTGTTGTAAGGAATATTTGTAATTAGATTTTGATTATGCTATATTAATTAGGACTTTAGAGTACCCCTCTTTAGATTTAATGTATTAGAATTTTTCCTTGTAAAGTTCTTTAGTGTAGTCGACTGGTAGAAGGCCTCCAGAACAGAAGACCTCCAGACAGAAGACCGTTGATAGGCTTTGTTTCAATAGAAGACCTTTGGCTCTCTGCTTCAGAACAGAAGACCTCTGGGTCTCTGTTAGCCTTTACACGGACAGAAACCCTCTTGGTTTTCTGTTGGACAAATCTTCAACAGAAACCCTCAAGAATCTCTGATAGCTTTCTCCAACAGAAGTGCTCTAGACCTTCTGTGATCGACTCTCTGCTGAAGACACCAGAAGGCCTGACACTTAGAAGAATTTCACCAAGCCGGTAAACCAACTGAAGATTCCCTCAACGGCTAGGAGTCTTGAACGGAAAAGCTATAGTACGCGCATTAAATACACATTTAATGCCTCCCGTACTCTATAGAGTAAATGCAGATGATTGGCCGCAATGTCAGGATAGCTTTATCCCAAAATAGTAACCCGCCAACTTTGCTAGGTCCTACTGGTCAAGTCAACTGCCCGCTCATTTAATGCAGTTGTCCTCCTTCTCCTCCAACGGGAAGACAACCTCAGTATAAAAGATACACTACGAAGAACAACCGGATAACTTTGCTACAACAGTGCGCATACAAAACATTCAAACGCTAAAAACGCAAAAAGCCTCCTTGAGATAAAATCTTCATTATCTTCTACAAGAGAAGGCAGACGTTGGAAAGCTTCCTACTTCCAACTCAAGCAAAGTTCTAATCGTTCTTCAAATCTTCAAGCTCTTCATATACAAATCTTTTGTAACGAAACAAGTTGGAGGAACCCCTGTTTTTAACAGAAACTCTTCTTTCACAAGAAGGACGTCCAAGTACCTGGAGCAGTGAAGTAGTGATACTTCCGGGAAAGCTCAGTGAAAGGACCAGTCTTAAGGAAGCCAGAAGTGCATCCAAGGAGACATCTACACTTGAAGAAGACGTGGAGAGCTTCTTAAGTGATAGGGCTAAGGCGTTGTAAACGGTCGTTTTTACAAGCTTAGTGGAACAGTGAACTAGAGGAACAAGTTGTTCCTTGAACCACTATAAAAAGTTCTGGTGTCATTTACTTACTGCATTTTACTTATAGTTTTTATTTGAACTGTTTAACTCCAAAGACTTGGTATCTGTGTTCAGCAGAACTTGTCTTGTGAGTTAACAGAAGGCCTACTGCCGTTGCTTCTCTGAGGCTAAACTAACAGAACCCCCTACCAGAACCCCATCCGCTGCCAGTCTGTTCTGCCAACAGAACAGGCTAGTCTGTTAAATCTGGTACTAAGCTTGAAAAAGTTAAAAACCAATACAGTCTATTCACCCCCCCCCCCCTCTAGACTGTATCCAGTACAACCGGGACCAACAAGTGGTATCAGAGCCTCCTTGTTCTAATAATCTCTTAGGTTATTTGCAGAACAAAGATCCACTTGTTTTTCTGTTTACCTCTTTTTTAATCTGATATAATGGATCACTCCCTTTCCAAGAATCTTATGTTCTCAGATCTCAAGTTTGATGACTGGAGGATCCGAATGAAGGCACATCTCTGTGCTCTGCATGATGAGATGTGGGAAGTACTTGACATTGGGCCGTTCACAAGCTTCCAGAAGGTCAACCCAGAGCATGCTATTGACAACACCAGACCTCAGATGATCAATAAGGCCAAATCTGAGTGGACTACAGAAGAAAGGAAATACAATCTGGACAACATTGCTAAAGACATTCTTTACAAGTCCATCGATGATAGGTACTTCAACAGGATAAAGAAGTGCAAGACTGCCAAGGAAATCTGGGATACTCTTGAGCTCATTGGAGCTGGTGATGAGCAAGAGAAGGACAACAAGCTGACAATAGCTAACAAGAAGTTTGATGACTTCAAGCTTCTTCCTGGTGAAAGCATCTCCAAGATGTATGAAACGCTCCTCACTCTCACTGGAGAGATCTCTGAGCTTGGCAAGGAACTTACCACCAAGGAGATCAACCTCAAAGTGTTGAGAGGACTGCCCTCAGCATGGAAGATGAAGGTGGTTGTTGTTCAAGCCAGCAAGGATGTGAAGACTTATCCCACTGATAAGCTCATTTCAGATCTCAAAGCTCATGAGTTTGAAATGATTGAAGAGAGGGAAGATGCACTAGAAGAAAAGACCACCACAGCCCTCACTTCCAGTACATCAAAGGTAAATGATTTTTACCCCTCAGCACTTTTATCTGACGAATATATGGCTGCTTTTGCTAGGAGATTCAAGAAGTTTATGAAGAATCCCAAAGATGGAAGAAGTCCATCATTCAGCAGAAAGCCCTTCCAGAAGGTCAAAGCTACAGAGAGCAGTGGTGAGCTTCTCTGTTACAACTGCAGACAACCTGGACACTTCAAGGCAGAGTGTCCACATCCAATAGTGTCCAAGAGAAAGGGCATGATGGAGAAAAGAAGAAATATGAAGACAATACCAGAAGAAGGAAAGCACTCGTGACAGAATAACTCGAGAAAGATCCTCTGTCTGAGACAGAATCCAGTTCTGACTCTGACTCTGATGAGGCCTTCTGTTGCCTTGATACTGAGACAGAAGACCTATGCCTCATGGCTCATTCTGATGATGAGATAACCTCTACTTCTACATCTAGTTTCTCTTCGGTAGGCTTAGCTTTTGATTCTGATTCAATGGCATACAAGAAGGCCCAGTCTTCCATAGAAAAGATTTTGCTTAATCAACAAATTGGCATTGGCTTTGGTCTTGGTTATGGCTCAACAGAATCAGGTGAGCCTTCTGTAATGCCTAGCACCAGTGTTGCTAAGGCGGACAAGGTCATAGTGCCACTGATCTCGAGCCCCGTCGGCCAAGCTGGTGTATCTGGCACCAAGGTTGTTCATGAGGAAGTCAGACCAGAAAAAGGGAAGATAAAGGTTCAATAGAAACCCTTTTTAAAAATTAATGAACCTGGCAGAAAACCTAACAACAGAAAAGGTTTTCAGAATAACAAAAATAAAAGACCATTCATTAACAGACAACCTCATGATAACCATGCCAGAAATGACCACCAGAAGGGTAGATATCAAGAGAGAGTTAACTTTAGGCAGAAGAGGTTGGCTGGTCAACTTTAGAAGCCCAAAGCTAACCGTCTCTCTGCTCTTGATAGTATATGGGACTTCTTTCCAACTAAGAAAGCTATGCAAAAGTACGTAAACAGGAAGCATGACCCTCACAAGCATCTGCCCAAAGTGAATCACACTTCAGTTTACTATAACTACCAGGTGGACAATGGGTACCATCTACCAAGGTTTCACCTGATGAGACCAAAATGGTATCAACTACCCAGACTCCATGACCCCCCAGGACCCAACATTTCTTGGGTACCTAAATCCTTCTTTTGATCTTGCAGGAACTGTGTGCTGGAGCTATCTCAGAGCAAGAATGGTTTATTGATAGTGGATGCTCCAGGCACATGACAGGTGACAGAAGTTGCCTAACAGAGTTCCAGAAATGCAAAGGACCTAGAGTTACCTTTGGAGGTAATGACAAGGAAGGTCAAACAAAAGGAAGAGGGAAGTTGATAAGAACCAGATAGTCATTGATGATGTCTCATATGTCAAAGGCCTGAAGTTCAACTTGCTGAGTGCTAGCCAATTCTGTGACAAAGGCTACACTGTTGAATTCACAAAGGACTTCTGCTATGTGAAGCATGAGACAACAAAGGAAGTGGTTGTTACAGCATCAAGGAAGAAGAACATCTATGTGGTTGATTGGAAAACTGCAAAGGATGGAGTTTGCCTGATAGCCAAGGGAGATTCAAAACTAAACTGGGACTGGCACAAGAAGCTTAGCCATTTGAACTTCAAAACAATCAACAAACTGGCAAGAGAACACATTGTTGATGGACTGCCAGACATAGTTTACAAGAAAGAGACCCTCTACGGTGCATGCCAGAAGGGAAAGCAACAAAAGAACTCTTTCAAACCCATTGATGGAGATCTTTCCACAAGTCCTTTAAATCCGATACACATGGGTTTATTTGGACCTATTGAGACTCCAAGTGTTGGTGGAAAGAAATACACCCTAGTCATGGTTGATGACTACTCCAGATATACATGGACTATCTACCTGTCAAAGAAGAATGAAACTCTTCAGAAGTTGCCATATCTGTTAAAGCAACTTCAGACTGAGAAGAATTTGAAGGTTAAGACAATCAGGTCTGACAGAGGAACTGAATTTGTCAACCAAGTCATAAAGGACTTCTGTGATCAAAATGGAACCTTTCATCAACTCTCTGCCGCCAGAACCCCTCAACAGAATGGCGTAGCAGAAAGTAGGAACAGAACATTAAAAGAAGCTGCAAGGACAATGATTGCAGAATCTAGACTACCTATGAGATACTGGGCTGAAGCAATCAACACTGCATGCTATACCCAGAACAGAAGTATGATCAATAAGAATCACCAGAAGACCCCTTATGAACTTTGGAAAGGAAGAAAACCTAACATCAGTTACTTTCATGTATTTGGGTGCAAATGCTACATTCTTAACAATGGAAAGGAACATCTGAAAGTCTTTCAAGAGAAAGCTGATGAAGGTGTATTCATAGGGTATTCAAACACCAGTAAAGCCTATAGAGTACTCAACAGAAGGACTCTACATGTTGAAAAGTCTATACATGTGAAGTTTGATGATAACATCTCTGTTAAAGAAGTAACAGAGACCCTCAAAGAAGTCAACATAGAAGACAGAACACCTGAACCAACAGAAGAGGTAGCAGATAGCCCTGCATTTCCAACATCTGCACCAAACCCCCTTCTATTGAATGAAGATGAAGATTCAGAAGATGAAGAACCAGAAAGACCCAGACAGCAACTGACAGAACCTGATCTGACATGGTTAAGAGACCATCCCCCTAACCAAGTAATTGGACATATCAGAAGTGGTGTGCAGACCAGATCAGCATCAACAAGGAGAGAAGCAATGCTTGCCTGCTATATATCTCAGATGGAACCCATGACTATAGAGGAAGCTCTTGCAGATTCAGATTGGATCAATGCAATGCAAGAAGAACTGACTCAATTTGAAAGGAACAAAGTATGGGAACTTGTTCCTAGGCCAAAACACCAGAATGTCATTGGAACAAAATGGGTATTCAAGAACAAAGCTGATGAAGATGGCAACATTGTAAGGAATAAAGCAAGGCTGGTAGCTAAGGGTTACTGCCAAGAAGAAGGAATAGATTTTGATGAGACTTTCACACCAGTTGCCAGACTGGAAGCCATCAGAATATTTCTAGCCTATGTTTCCTACAACAACATCAAGGTCTACCAGATGGATGTCAAGAGTGCATTTCTGAATGGAGATCTTGAAGAAGAGGTTTATGTGGAACAACCACCAGGTTTTGTCATTCCTACTCACTCCTCCTGTGTCTATAAGCTTAAAAAGGCCCTTTATGGTCTTAACCAAGCTCCCAGAGCATGGTATGACACACTGTCCCTATTCCTAGTGAACCATGGGTTTACTAAAGGAAAGGTTGACAAAACTCTATTTCACATCTCTGTTGGTAATCATATTCTGTTAGTACAAATATATGTTGATGATATTATAATTGGTAGTACTAATTCAGAACTATGCAAGAAATTTTCTCAAGTGATGCAGAGTCAATTTGAAATGAGTATGATGGGAGAACTCAACTACTTCCTAGGACTACAAGTCAAACAGGTTCCAGAAGGAATCTTTATCAATCAAGGAAAGTACACCAGAGACCTGATCAAGAAATTTGGAGTGGAAGGCAAATCCTCAGTGAAGATCCCCATGAACACCTCACAAGGAATTGGTCCGGATGATGAAGGCAAAGATGTTGATGCAACTACCTACAGAGGAATCATAGGATCTCTACTGTATCTGACTGCAAGCAGACCAGATATCTCATTCTCTGTTGGAATTGGTGCCAGATACCAATCAAAGCCCAAGGAGAGCCATCTTAGTGCTGCAAAGAGAATCATCAGATATATCAAAGGAAATCCAAATGCAGGCCTATGGTATCCAAAGGGAGGTAACTTTGAACTAATTGGTTACTCTGACTCAGATTTTGCAGGTTGCAGATTGGACAAGAAGAGCACCTCTGGTCACTGCAGAAGCAGAACTCAATCTCAACCAGTACAGCAGAAGCTGAATACATTGCAGCTGGGAGTTGTTGTGCTCAGCTACTCTGGATGAAGCAACAGTTGAAGGATTATGGCATTCAAGCAAAGGAGATCAAACTGCTATGTGACAACACCAGTGCCATTGCCATCACTCAGAATCTTGTTCTTCACTCAAGGACAAATCATATTGAGATCAGACATCACTTCATCAGAGATCATGTTGAAAAGAAGCACATATGCATGGAGCATGTGTCAACAGAAGACCAGCTTGCAGATATTCTGACAAAGCCTCTGCTTGAGGCTAGATTCAACAATCTGAGAGAGGAATTGGGAATGATGGATGAAATTCCAAGAGAAAGTTGAAAAGGAAGGCCTTCTGTTGCATACTCTCTGCTAACAGAATACCTGTTGCAGAACCCCTTATGTTCTCTACACTGAACAGAACACATGCTGCTGACCCCTTCTGTTCTCTATCCTGAACAGAGGACATCCGTTCCTGACAGAACACCTCAGCATCAGAAATCCTCCTCTTATCTTTAACAGAAGGTTGTGGACTTAGAAATATTTTGAGAAAAACCGGGAGACCTAGTTGTTGGTCCCGGTTGTACTGGATACAGTCTAGAGGGGGGGTGAATAGACTGTATTGGTTTTTAACTTTTTCAAGCTAAGTACCAGATTTAATTGAATAGCCTGTTCTGTTGGCAGAACAGACTGGCAGCGGATGGGGTTCTGGTAGGGAGTTCTGTTAGTAGCCTCAGAGAAGCAAAGGCAGTAGGCCTTCTGTTAACTCACAAGACAGGTTCTGCTGAACACAGATACCAAGTCTTTGGAGTTAAACAATTTAAATAAATACAATGAATGTAAAGCAGTAAGTAAATGACACCAGGGCTTTTTATAGTGGTTCAAGGAACAACTTGTTCCTCTAGTCCACTGTTCCACTAAGCTCGTAAAAACTTCTGTTTACAATGCCTTAGCCCTATCACTTAAGAAGCTCTCCACGTCTTCTTCAAGTGTAGATGTCTTCTTGGATACACTTCCGGCTTCCCTAAGACTGGTCCTTTCACTGAGCTTTTCAGAAGTATCACCACTTCACTGCTCCAGGTACTTGGACGTCCTTCTTGTGAAAGAGGAGGTTCTATTTAGAACAGAGGTTCCTCCAACTTGCTTCATTACAAAGGATTTGTAAGTGATGAGCTTTAAGAGTTGAAGAACACTTGAACTTTGCTTGAGTTGGAAATAAGGATTTTTCCAACTTCTGC